GTAGTAGATGAGTGCGGGTTGTGTGACTTTTTTGTTACATCTATATATAGACGATGCATTAAAATATATTTATTTATAAATCATTAAAAAATTAACATTAATTTTAAAATAATTTATTTTTTTATCTTTTATAAAAGAAGCTATATATAGATGATGTCAGATATTCCGCGATTAATTAAACATTGTTTAAATCCTGAATGGGTTAAACTTCAATTTAAAAATGAAGATTGTGAATTATTAAATGAATATGAAAGCCAAAATAAGCTAATGAGGTATAAATATAATGATAAAGAATATTTAATTTCATGGAATCAATGGAGTCATAATCAAAGACCTCATAAACGAGAAGAAGAAATTGAAAATAATGAAATGGAAATCATTGATGACATTAAAGAGGATGGAATTCCTAAATTTTGTAGAAAAACCTTTAGAACTAAGTTAGGAGCATATAAACGTAGAGTATTAAATCCTGAATATCTTAAACATTTATTTAAAAAGGAAGACTGTGAATTATTAAACGTTAATGATTATGAAAATGCAAAATCAAAACTGAGATATAAATATATTGGAAGTGATGAAAGATGCAAAGATAAAGATAAAGTTTATACAGTTTCATATAATAACTGGCACACGTTAGGGATTAGAAAACATTTAGGAGATTATGGTAAAAGTTCTGAATTCTTTAAATCTAGTATATACGAGAGAGTAAAAGAAATTAGATATAATTATCATTCATGAATGAAAAATAAACTTTAAAAATTCATGTCTTACATTTATGAATAATTTATTTTTATTTTGTATGAAACCAATATTAAAAATTCATGTCTTACATTTTGATAATTTATTTTTTTAATTCGTATGAAAATGAGTGTCAAGACTAACGACGTTAAAAAATTGGGATTCACAAACGAGGAAATAAAGGATATATTAGAGGAGGCGAGTTATGAAGTTAATAAATATTATTTAAGAAATTGTCAAAAATTCGCGGAGTTATTAAATGATTTAGATTATGATGGAAAAATGAATAAAGATGATGTTATAAATTTCTTATATCCCACATCTGAAGAAGAAAAACCTAAAGAACCTGATGTTTTCCCTGAATATTATGAAGAACGGATTAAAGATGATGAATATGATGAAATTGAAAGACTGGAAAAAATAAGAGATGAAATAGATGAAAAAATTAAGGAATTAAGAGAAGTTGAAAAATATAATGAGAATGAAGTAGAGGGTTTAATGAATATCCCAGCTTCAGAATCAGAAGTTCAAAAATCTCATGAAGAAAGATATAAAAATTACTTTTTGGAATCTACTAAAAATTTATTAGATGGTGAAATAGATGAAACACTTTCAGAAGAAGGCACAAAATTTATTCATAAACATAAGTTACAATTTATTGACGATGGAGATTATCCATGTATATTACTTTCACCTCCTCTTGATTCTGAAAAATTCAAAAAAGCACTGAAAAATGTAACATATGCAACAAATACGATTAAGAAAGAAGACCATGATATTTACACAAATTATTATTTAAATAAATGTGCAGGTGTTGATAAAGTTTTTGATTTGTTAGATAAAATATCAAAAGAAACAATTGGTACATATAAAATTTTATGCGATTGTGGTTTCATTATTGAAGATACTAATAATGTTTCATATGAAAGAACAGCACCGAAGGAAGACGAAGTTGAAAGGTCTATACCATTCGTTATTAAGAATATAAAAGATATGAAAACTTATAAACATTATATTTATTCATTTATTTCAGAAAAAATGGAAGCAACCCATAAAACATCATCTCATCATTTTATAGCTATTCATACATTCCTTTTCAAAGTTGTGAAATTAAATAAGACAGGAATTAGATTTAATGTATCAGGGTACGCATTCTTGAGTAAATTAAAATGTATTCGTCACGTCGCAGATGATAAAAATTTATGTGTTCTTAATTCATTTTATGGACTTTAGGGACTTTAAAAAAAATAAACTTTATTTTTATTTATTTTTTAATTTTTTATTCTTACATAAATGAACAAAAACGGAACAGCTAAAATGAATGATAATCAAATAAGAGCCGAAGGTAGAAGGTTATTTAAACGCTTCTATAACATTCCTGATGGTGTTAATCCTAAAACTCGTAGAAGTTATTTAAATGAAGCCATAGATGCATATGAAGGATTTGACATTTCATCAGAAAGTGAGAGGTTAGCAAGAATGTTAAACGTTAATATTGATTTTTATTATTGTGACCCTCAACCAGAAGACGTAGACATAAATAAGGTAGACTTTCCATTAGTGGAATCAATAATGATAGATCCAGAATTTGAAACAGTAAATATTTTATTAACACAGAGTCCATGTGGAAAACTTCACGCTGACAGAATTACAGACGTTGAAGCACTCACAGGATATAAAGTTTGCCCCTTTTGCAAAGAAGAAGTATATTCTATCCGTGATGACCCAGAAAGGAAAAACCAAAGAAGATTTTTAAAACATTGTGAGAAATGTAAAGAAAATAATGGAAGATTAATTCAAGACGTTCAATTGCAAAACACACAACAACCATATGCACCACATATCACGAAACAGAAGATATATCAATGGCTATTAGCTCACAATTTGCAGGAATATTATAAACCAACAAGATATTATATTACTTTTGACTTCGAAACATTAGAGACTAAAGAAGAACTTCAACTTTCTGAATGTGCAACTTTGAACGCTTACTTAAAACCATTTATGGTATCATCAACTGTCAAAATAAAGCCGCAAACGGACTCTTTGAGTCCTGAAGGTCTTTCAGACCGAAGCGGCGAGGTCGTAGACCGTGATAAAACATTTACGAGGAATTTTTGCTTAACATCAAGTGATTCGTTCATCTCTGATTGGATTGAATTTTTATTTTCAACCTGTTCATTAGTTGCTAAATCAAATATTGAACAATATGAAGAATTAATGAAGCCGCAAACGGACCAAACGGCGGGGACTTTGTCCCATACATTAAATGAAAAACAGAAGGAAGCATTTAAAGAACTTCTAGATGAGGAATTCAATAAAGTGAATATCATAGGTTTTAATTCGGGAAAGTTTGATTTAAATTTAATTCTTCGTGATTTAAACACTGCAAAATGGAAAATAAAATCAATGCTGGGTTCTTCTTCTCAATTTAAGCAAATCATTGTAAAGAAAACAAACTGTCCATATGAATTAAGATTTATTGACATCAGAAATTATATAGCGGGTGGAACATTAGACCAATTCACTCAAGATTTCGGAAACAATAAATCACGTGTTAAATCCTTTTTCCCTTATCAATTCATCACATGGGAGAATTACGAAGATGAATTATATAAAGTGGAACCATTCACTCAAGATTCATTTTATTCAGCATTAACTCAAGAAACAATATCCGATTCAGATTATCAAATATATCTCAATGATGCTAAAAATTTTGAGAATAGATTAGAATATTTTATTCATTATTGCAATAAAGACGTTGAAATTATGATTGACCCAATTGATAAAATTATTGAAGAAACATTTGTTTATAAAATTGACATGCTTCATAATCTTTCTTTATCATCGAATGCATCAATGATTCGTTACGCGTTAGCATATAAGAACTTCAATCCTAACGAAACATATCCAGAAGAAGAAAATGTGGAATCAAGTTTTGAATTAACAAAAAAGTATTGGAAATATAAAATTGATTCATATAAGAAACAAGATGAAAAAGCAGAAAGGGATACTAAAAACAATGTTTCAATGGATGACTATCAAT